TTATCGGTTACTACCACTATGTGGTACATTCAAATCTGTTTGCATAGTGGGAAAAGGCTGTGGGTATAACCATGTTTCCTACTATTCTTCAATAGCCAGGTTCTCAACATTCTAGTCAAGTCCCACTGGCCCCTCAGCATTATAGGTCAGTATTGTTTCCAGACAATTCTATATGTCATCTTTTCCTTACTTCCTTTGTTTTGCCTATTCAAATCTGATTTCTACTTTAGAGTTTAGCAGCTCAAGTATTACCCCCTTGAAAATTTTATCATCTATTCTAGGCCTAACTGATCTCTTCCCTTCACTTTATTATGTTGAATTTAGAATCAGTATCTCTGAAATAGGCAGCTAATTTCCTGTTTTACATCTTTGATTTCTTTTTTGTCTTCTGAAGTAGATTTTAGGTCTATTGATAGCAGAGCTTTTCTATTTCATAGTCTGTTCCTTTACAAACATTTGTGTACCAGAAATAGTACTTTAGCAATTAGTAAATAGGACAATGATGTCAAAATAATGTGGAAGTCCAGTTGATTCAAGTGTGAATTTTCTTTGCTCTTTTAAGTTTTGAAGTAATCCAAAGCAAACTTTCCTCACTATTGAAGCCAGATTTACAGATAGGTAGTTAGTGTAGTTAGGTAAATCGGCTCTAACATGGAGTAAAATAAAGAATGGAGGCCATTATAGAGAATGGAGTCCAGGAAAGCAGAGGGGCACTTGGGGAAATTGAAATGTTAATGTCCCCAAGGCCCCCCAAACTCATCCTAAAGAACTGTTAATGAAGCAGCAAACAGGGAAGTGCTAATCCAAAAGCCACCCCAGGCCCTTCTTTCCCAGATTACTCCTTCAGCCTCCCTATCTCCCACCTTTTGGGCCTTCCCACCTGCATTCTACCACTGAAAGATAAAGGGAAACAAAGGACTGGAGTGTGGGAAAGCTGAAAGAAGACCTTACTATAAAAAAGGGAAGACCTCCCCCTTTCACAGATTCTGCCTTTTGGGTCCCCTTCTTCCTCAAGGGAGAAGTCTTTTCTGCTGTCCTATAATAAAACTTCTACTTTCCACTCTAAGCTTGTCTCAAAGTGCTTCTCTGGTGTTATACTTCAGCATTGGGGAAGCAAGGACTGGGAAACAGCGGTAACACTATTAAGGAGAAGTCTTAACAATATATGAAGACTTAAAAAGTGAAGAATTGTGCATATGACTCTGCCTTAAAGTGTAAGTTGACTGGTTTAGTGGATTAAAATTTGAAGTTTTCAACAACTTTAAACTATCTCTTGAAGCTGTGAGAACTGATAATAAAGCTGTGAAGACCTTTCATTACATGTTTTTAAAAAATTGCCAGGTACAGTGGTGCACTCCTATAATCCCAGATTTTTGGGAGACTGCGGCAAGAGAATCCCAAATTCGAGATTTGATAACATTGAGAACCCATCTCAAATCAAAAATTAAAAATAATAAAAAGAACTAGGGATGTAGCTCAGTGATAAAGCATCCTGAATTCAATCCACAGTATTAAAAAAAAGGAAAGAGAAAAAGTTGGCTTCTCTTCAATTAGATTTTTAATTTTGGTGAAAATGGCATCTGTTGCCTTTGAGGATCCACACAGGAAAGAAGCAGCAGAAGCATGAAGTCTACCAAGGATTGATGACTGTGATGCTTGATACTTGGTGTAAATGCCAATGGAGATTTAACCTCATCAGTATTTTTGTTAGTATGGTTATTGTTTTCTTTAGTGCTCTGATCACAAAGTTGCATTAGATTTAAGAGGTTTTCCTTAACCATATTTTTCTAGAAGCCTGATTATCTTAGGCATGCAATTTTGAAGAATGAAAGATTTTTCAGGAAGACATGTTATAGCAGAATGTTTGGCACTTTGTTTTAATCATCTGCATGATATCCAGTTTGGTGTTAGCCACATAACATATGTTTAAAATAAATACTTGTTTACTTGTAGTTATCTTTTAATTCATAAATATTTTTGCTGTGACCCTGGAGTTGGTGATTTCTCATTTTTTCTGATCCATGTTTCCTTTAATTTCTCTATGAATGACCCAGATTGTTTAGATGAGGATAAAGGATGGCCCTAAGGTCAGTTTGAAGAAAGATAGAGCCTACCAGCCTCTTATCTTTCTTTCTTCCCAGAGCTAGCTTTTAAATGCTGATTGGGTGCTAGGAATCACTAGAAGCCAAAGGGAGAGGCCACAGAATCAGTGGGTCTAAAGTACAGTTTTGATACTCCACCTGATGGGGTAGCTTCTTTTCTTCAGCATCAGAGAAAAGAGTTCTCTCCATCCACCAGCCTATTTGTGTGTCCCATGGAGGCAAAACAAAGGATCACAGGTAAGATGAGGGCAGCTCCAGGAATTGGTGAAGCCCTTGGTTCACAATTGGTGACAAATGTCCTTGCCTGAGAGCTGTGGCCCCTTTTGTGTATTAGCTTCTAAGAGAGGCCAATGACCCTGATGCCTAAATAAGGGATTTCTGTTTTATTGTTTTTAACTGTTCTTTATATTAACTGGAGCAAAATGCTGAAAAACAAACACCAAGAATTAAGACAGGGGCTGAGATAATCACAATAAAGTCAAATATAAGCTATATCTGGAACAGGATTTTTAATTTTTATTTTTTCACTTTTTGCCAAAAATATTGTAGATCTTTTCCAGTTTTCTCTAAGTGAATATCAAAGGTAGCTTAGCCTGGCCTGAGGATAATGAAATGCAACCTTATATTCAAAATAATATTAGTTAATTTATGAGTCCATTTATGTACTCCTAACAGAAATCATTCATATTTTAATACCCTTCCCTTGCCCCCACTCTCCATTTCTTAAATAGTGATGAAATGAAATTTACAAGTACAGGGGGGCCTTCATGATCTGGACTTCCTTATCTGTTCTGCTTCTTCTCTTGCCAACAACCTCCCCCACAGTCCAATTTCTTAACCATAGGGTCTTTTTGCATGTGCTATTTTCATTTCCTTTGCCTGGAATGCTCTTCACTTACTTGTATTGAAATTGCTCAATATATTTTTGTTTCAAACCCTCTCAAAGAGCCTGAAGGCTTCACAAGAGCAAATCATGACTGTCTAGTAGGTTGCCAACAAATACTTACTGACTTTATTCAGAACTTTATCACTCAGCTAGAACATTATCTTCTTTGGGATGGTGTCCCTGAATCTTTGACACTTGGTTAGCTACCTCTTTCATAGGCTCCCTGTTCAAATCTGTTACTCTGTAGTGCAATTCTTTAACAGTCTGTCTCTTCCATTATATTGAGGTTCTAAAGGACAGAAATTATGTCATATAAAGTACCCACAGTACTTTGTTTATCATCTGGTGTACGCCGAAGAGTTATGTGTACTGAGAAGTTTCTTTCTTCCTTTTTTTCTCTTTTGCCATATTGGGGATTGAACCCAGGGGTGCTCAACCAATGACAGGCATTCCCAGGCCTTTTTTGTTTTTTTGAGACAAGGTCATGCTAAGTTGCTGAGGTTGACCTCAAACTTAACAATCCTCTGCCTCAGCCTCCCAAGTAGCTAGGATTCCAGGTGTGTGCCACCACACCCAGCTGTAACTCAACAGATTATTGAGTAATGTTTGAACTTGGAGGGCCCTTGACTTCCACCCACAGCCATATCTCTCATAGAGAAATTATATGAAAGCACTGGGTAAATAGTTCATTCCTTTCTGCAGCATCCATTTTCAGTATTTCAGAAGGGGGCACATTTAGATCAATTAAATCCTGTGCATGCATATATGTGTACAGTGAGTCAAATTCAAAATATACATCAAATTTTAAGTCAAACAGGAACTTCAACATAGCAAATTTACCTTGGGGCTCCTTGTTCAACCTGTCTGGGAGTGTGCATTCCTTCTTCACTCCTGTCCTTGGGTAGTTTACTACTTTAGTAAAAAGAAAGTTAATGACCAGGGCAAAGATATCCAATGTTCTTTGATTCTACTGTCCAAGATAGTTGCGTTATCACACCTATATCATGGTTTAATTCACTGTAATGCACTCTGAATAAATATGTTCAGATACAAACTGAAGTCAGCATAGGGAACTCCAGGTTGAAGGGAAGAAGCTTAAAAGAAGCCAGGGCCCTAAAGTTTTCTTCAGTAACAAGCATGTGGACATGTTTATGGACTTTACATTTTCAAGTAGCTTCTCTAGCATATGAGCTCTTATTCCACCATGGGAGTTCATTCAAATACTGCCTTGCCCTTCTAATGTTCTTCGTGTACACCTTTATTTTTAAAAGGTTCCCTTTATAAAGGATGGAAAAATGCTAGTATACCCCAGGGACTAAAGACTTTACACCCTGGCCTGCAGCATAAAAACACCTACGTTTGTCTAGAGATTTATATTTTAAACAAAGCTATGACACACATATCTTATTCACTGCCCACGACAAACCTAAACCTAACTAGTGCGGGGAAACTTAAGATAGCACTCGATGCAATTGTAAACTTTAAATCGGTGCTTTGGTTAAAGAGCCTAACAACACCTTCGGGATTAAGCAGTGGGCGCCTGCTGCTCCAACTACCTGGCAACCTGGGAATAAGGGAAAGGCTGTTATTCCTTTGGTCACAACGCAATCGTGGCAACAGAAGCACCCACTCTTTCCACTTTGACCCATACAATCTGTCTAGGTAATTAATCAGCACTCCCTGCGGTTTTCCTATAGGCTGCCAGTTGTCTTGCTAATTAAACCTTCCCACGAAGTGTAGCAAGACCACACCTCCGTTGAGGCCTCTCTAAGGAAAGGTGCTTTGGTGTACACTTCTGGAAGCTGACGCTCAGGTCAGGGTGCCCATGAAACTGACAGGGGAATTCTCCTAGACCTCAGTTTCCTCACCTCTAAAATGGGCTACCCCTCTCTCTTGATTAGGTCTCTGCCATTTCACGCTGGGCGGGTAGGAAGTGAAATCAGTGATTAACCACAGCTGAAAGTCCTCTGTTGGGCTCCAGTCACTGTGCCGGGCATGCTCAGTAGCAGGGGCCGGCTCAGCACCCTGAGTAGGAAGCGGCTTTCCGCGCTCCGGCTGCCGACTGCGGGCACTTTGATGAATCACGTGTGTTGAGGCCCTCTTAAAGAGATAGGCACCTACTTTCCCTCCACCCTAAACACCGCCCTGAGGGCGGCGGCTACTGTGGTAATTGCAGCTGCTTAGGGGCAGGGCTTGCCCCAGCGCTGAGTAGTGGCAACAGCGTGGTTGCGTCGGGGGTGTTGGGAGCCGGCAGCCCCGGGGGCCTGAATTGGGCTACTCCCCGGGCTGACACTCTCTCCCTAAGGAAGACGTGCTGTCGAATCAGCGCTGGGCAGCCAGAGCGCCCAGGGGGGCTTCTTCAGTTGAGGAGAGGTGGGGTTATAGGGCACAGGTGACAGGGCCGGAGAAAGATGGAGCAGCCCGGGGCGGCGGCGTCGGGAGCGGGAGGCGGCAGCGAGGAACCGTATGGGGGCCGGAGCAACAAGCGGAGCGCGGGGAACCGAGCTGCCAACGAAGAGGAAACGAAAAACAAACCCAAATTGGTGAGTGCTCCCGCAGCCCCCGCCGGCCTTGGGGATAGGGAGAGCCCCGGAGTCCTCCTGCCGTTGAACATGGGGAACCCGGGGCCCCCTCCCAATGGTGACCGCGACCTCGCTGTGCTACTCGGGGAGCTGCTAAAGGAGCGGAGCGGCCAAACCGAGGCGCGGAGACGGCGTGGGGGCGGAAGAGCACCCCCTTCTCCACTTAACCCCTTTCTCCCTCTTGTCAGCCTGGTAGGCAGTGAGGGAAGGAGAAAGGCCCCACCCCAACTTGGGGAGACCCCGAGTCCTAGAGTATTGGGTAGGGCTGTTGTTTGTCTAACTTGTGGCCACCAACCTTCTTTGAGCGATTCCATTTCCCTCCCACCTCTTGTCAGTTGCTGTTTTGACTCAACACTTAGGGTCCGGGGCAGGGGAACCTTCCTCCTTTTTGGTCTGAGGACTTGGGAGCCCGCTCGCAGCCTTTCAAATCAAGAAAAACACAACGTAGGCCCCCAATTCTTCAACTTAACCAGAAATCTAAGAGGCGCCTACGTGCGTCACCCCCCCCCCTCTCTCTCCATGTGCTCTCCCAAGAAATATTTCTTTGGAGGAGTGGGGGAAGCGTGGGAGTTGAGGCTGGGTGAAGTACCACCAACTGTCCTTTGTGTATGTTTATGTAGACATACAGTACTTCAACCCAGTTGATTCTGAACACTTAAAAGTGGTAGGCAGACTGTGCACTTCTCACAGTCCTGGTAGTGTTGAACCAGTGGTAGCAGTCCATTTCCTGCCGCTGAATGTGCAAAATGAAATCTTTGGGGCCTGATATTGCATTGGGAAATACAGGATTTCTTCAACTCAGTTAAAAGGGTTCCTCTTTTTGTAAACTTTGTAATTTGGGTGACATGAGGGGAAAGGGTTTTCCTGCACAAATTCAGCAAATACTGCCAAATAATCTTAGTCCAGATCCGAAGTACATGCCACATGTTGCATATCTAGATTTTAGTTTTGAGCAGCAACTTGACAGGGTAGTGGGTGGGATGGGGACATATAAATAAAGCCATTTCCCATGGTATCTGACCATTTGGTATGGACCTGTTGTATTTGTATTTTGGTTCCTATTTACTTTTCAATCATGGACTATCTATTCATAATGGAAAACAGTGGCCAAAGAGTTATTGTTTTAGGAAATATGCAACCTTACATTATGTGGGAAGGGATTTGTAGATTAACATGGCAAATTTAAAGTCTCATCAATTCCACACTAAGTGGACACAAATTGAAAACTAGCTTAATAGGTGCGACTTTTACCCCAGTATTTACAAATGAAGAATTTGAGTCACAGGCTGTTTGTGACTTGTCTGTGCTGGTGAGAGGCTAATGAGTGCCTGCACAATCATAAAATCTAAGAAAAGTTTTGAGTGTATCACTAGAGTTTCATGTTTTTGAAATTCTGTTGTGATTTTGAAATTTATTGGTTTTCCTTTTTTTTTTTACTGTAGCACAAAACTGTGGTTTAATCAGTAATCACAATTTTAAGTAAACATAAAATTTAACTGATAGTTTCCACAAATAGTTTTGCACCTATACCAAGAACCCTCCACTTTTAAGAAGAGCACTATCAAAAAAAGCATCTATCTCTATTAACACTTTGAGTATATTTTTCCTTTCCCTTTGACTATTTGCCCTGTTTCATCTTTTATGTTTTACTTGGTTTGACAAGGAAACTAGATAGTTATGAGATGGTATCACTTTCAGTTCCTAACTAACCTCACTGTTCCATGTTGAACATAGCTTGATAGAGCAGAACAAGTTTTGAAATCCAAGAGTTTCTAAAATATCAACATGAGTGTTTTTCCTCAAACATAACTTTTGAGCTTTACATGATTTTACAAGCAGATGTGTCAGAACGAATAATAAATTTAGGAAGTCATTATAGGACATTTTAAGGCAAGCAACTTCATCATACAAGTAGACTTGGTAAAACTTTGTAAGAAAGTTCATCTGGGATTCTTCAGATTTTGCTAAGTTAGATGAAACTTGATTGAGACTAAATTTTATTATTTTAAGCATTATGTCAGTCACTGCAGTAGTGCTTAATTCGTGTGTCTAAGTGTGTACAAAGGAATTGTGGTATGGAATTATAAAAGCGCAGTGGTACAAAAAGTTATTTGTGTGGGTAATTGTAGGGTACAGGGTCTCAAACTCTTCAAAAATTGAGTGCATGTTCTTTTTTCTGGGCCCCATAGCTTTCATCAGCTTCTCAAAGGCAATGATCACCTTAGAAAGAAGAACTATTGCAATATCAACAAAAGATAGTAAAGGAAATGATAGTTGATGCTAAGTTTGGGATGGGAGGACATCAGTGATGAAGGGAGAAAGGAAATCACACTGGCCACAAGGGTGATTGACTTGAAATTTATTCTAGGGGTAAAAAGTTAACTACACAATGTCTAAACAGTATTAGGTAGGATCAAAGTTTCTACTACATAGAAAAATTAACTTAGTCACTCTAGTGAAGTATAAGGCTTGTGATTCAGTTGTTTGCATTTAGTTCATCATGGTTCTGAAGAACTGGAGATGGAAGGCATGCATTCTATAAACAGGAACTACTTTCATTTATATCCTCCACTTTTTGATGGATATTAGTGAGACTTTCTTTCAGAGTGACACTTTCTAACTGTAGAGACTTCTGTTTAGGGTTAATTAACTCAAAATTCAGCAAAATTTACTTCAGTTTTCTTCATATATACATCTTTATAATGGTCCGTTTATTTTGACTTCTTTTTAAGTGCATTAGTACGGGAGTTTTGGATTTTATGTAACTATCTGGTTAGGCCCAGATAGCAGCAGCATGCCAACAAGCAGCATGACTCTTAGATTAATTAGTAATTTTATGTCAACTATGAAATGTATGTTGTTAAATTGAGTAGGAGAGAGAGCTGTAGAACTGTTGTGAAGGAACTTCATCTTGAATCTCACATATTTAAAGCAGTGACTTAATCATTGAAAGAAGGCCTCACAATGGTAGGTATATAGTGGCTTAATAGTATTTGATATTTTGCATTTTGAATTTGCATTTATGTGTACTTTCTGAAACTTTTGTTTCTTTAGACAGTAAATTCAGATTAGTAACTTCAAATAACACAAGTTGATTTTTTTATTGTTATATAACTTCCTGCATATTTGGTGATTTGTTCATACTTAGATAAATCATGTTTTGATTTTGAATAATTTCTGAGCACAGTGGTTTCATTTATGCAACAGATTGACTAAGTACTACAATGCTACATGCTATTCTAAGGATTGGTGATATAAAGATGCTCAGTCTACTAGACAGGAAAATTGATAAAAAGCAGTGACAGTTATAGGAATATACTTTGGAGGGTATTATAATGTACAGAGAGGCAGCAACTCAAATCAGATGCTGAGGGAGGTAAGGAAAGACTTATCATAGTAGGCAATATTTTGTTGAGGTTTGCAGAATAGGGCATTGAAGAAGTGGGGAAGGCATTCTAGGTTGAAAGAATATCATGTACAATGGTAGGGAAATACAGGAGCATGGCCAATAAAGAAGATACATGTGGCTGAAATAAAAGGTATATAAAATATTAAATCTGCCAGAAAAGTCCAAATCACAGTGAATCTTTGTGTGTCATGTTAGAATTTCAACTTTTTCCTGAAAGAATAAGTGTTAAAAAGGTTAAAACAGTAGACTTGGGGCTGGGGTTGTGGCTCAGTGGTAGAGCATTTGCCTTGCACGTGGGTTTAATCCTCAGTACCACATTAAAAAATAAAAAAAATAAATAAAGGTATTGTGTCCATCTATACCTAAAAAAAGAAATTAAAATAAAAACAGTAGAATTAACTGGTCAGATTTGTTTCAGAAAGAAATTTAGAACTGTGGAAAATTCCTTGGATAGGATTTCCAGAATGGACATAGGAGGAGCACAGAGTAGTGGAATGGAGTTCAACGTTTAGGGTTGGAGACCTGAATTCTGGTGGCTGCTCACCTTCTCATCCATTTACCAGCTTATCAATTTCCTAGTACTACTTCTCTATACCCTAGTTTCTTCCTGCCACCCATTGTGAACATCCTTACCAAATCTGAAATATCCACTCTGTTTCTCTTCAGTAAATCTCACTCCTTTTCACTGCCCAGTTCATGCCTAAGTGTTTTCCTGTTCTATTAGACCTTCATTAATTACTTCAGTTTACTGAGGGGTCATCTTTCTTCTGAGTCCATAACTATTGTAAAAACTTATGTTATGCATTCATCTAGTCTGTACAGAGATTTAAAATTGCTTTTGGGCAACAGTCCTGGTTTATGTTATTCTTTAAAATCTGGCAGGTTAGTGCTCAGGTACAAAATAACTTGGTAAATGATTATTAGCTGGGGAGTTTTTCCTTATAAGCCAGACATTTTGAAAGTATAAATTGTTGAAAAGAGGCTTAAAAAAGTGTACTTTCATACGTTTTTTCTTAGCATATATCCTTCATCAAATGAATATATCTATCTGTACATTCCTCTATGTCATCTCTAATTTTGAAATTCTGGAAACTTATGGCCGAGAGAACTCTCCTGCTCCCCTTGTTTGTTTAGATTCTTGTGATGTTGGAGCTTGAACTTTCATGCCGAGAAACAGTACCCAAACCATGAGCCAAGTAACATTTTGCTGTTAATAGTAGGAGGCTTCAGATTATTGGCAAACGAATATGGAATGGAGAGCCAAAGGACCTGGGTTCCAGTATCCCTTCTATCTTTTATTTGCTTGTGATCACTGCTGAGCATTTAACAACAGAAGTTTGAGCTCTTTGATTAATGTTAATCGGTCAGAGATAACATCAACATTGCTGGCCTTGTTTTTGTTTTTTGAAAGGGTCTCACTATGTTGCCCAGGCTGGCCTCAGATTCCTGGGCTCATGTGATTCTCTTGCCTCAGCCTTTTGAGTAGCTGGAACTACAGTCCTGCACTATTGTGCCCAGCTCACCTGCCTGATTTGTTTGACAAGGTTGTTTA